CAAGATGTCCTCGCTGGAAATCCCCAACGAAAATAAACTGAATTCATATTTTAATCGTAGTCGTACATTTCTCAGAATAAAAACATTTCGAAGTTCAACCAAAGACGAATTTTGTTCTAGGAAATTTATATTTCCGAATATTACAGGGGCTTCGGCGCAAACTAAAAGTGAGACTAAGGGCAAATTAAAGACATTATGCAATAAGCTTATTTAGCCATAAGCATGGGTAGGGCAACATGATCACAAGTCATTACACTCTTTTTACATAAGAAAATAGGCGCAGACATATATTTTTCCAAGGGGGGGAGGGGGAGGGGGGCTCAAAAATTAATTGCATAGGTAGTGGCTGCCAACGTGGGTAGAAACAGGGTAGAAATAGGCCTAGCTGAGGGTTCTACAGCGATTTTATTTTTCATTTTTCATTATCGTTCTTATTTGATCTTGGTTTAATCTGTTGAGATGATTTTTATCCGTGAATACAAAAATATAAAAATTAGTCTAATAAATCGATAGCCGATTTTCTTTTTTCCCATGGGGGCTCAGCCACCAAAAAATTTTCGTCAGGAGGGGCTCAAGCCCTGGAGCTCCCCTAGGTTTGCGCCTATGCATAAGAATGTCAACTTCCAAGACCGATTTCAAAGAATTTCAGCCTAAAAACCTTCAAAATGAAATACTATTCTTGTTTCATTGTCACCCACCAGACTTAATAAATTTAGAAAAATGAAATATAGTTTTTGCAATCACGTGTAAATATTTTAAGCATGATTACCAATAAAAACTTGCTTCCAGGTTCTTAGTTTTTTTGCAAGATGATTTAAGTAAATATAAATGATTTAGAAACCAACTTTGCTATTTTCCAATTTCCGACAATACCTCTGGTTGATCTTGTACTTTTACCTAAATTCAGTTTATTTGCAGGCGACAAACCAACAATGTAGCTGTAGATGTCGGCTAAAGTGGGCAAACTCGAGCAAGAACCATACCTGAGGGGGGGGGGCAGTCTTGAAAACAAGAAGACAGACGTATAACCAACAGATATATTTTATATTTGGACTAAATCAAGCTCACAGAATTATAATTATGCCAACTTTTCAAAATATCGTTTGGAACAACTGTAGCAAGAAGGGGAAGGTTGTTGACAAAATTTTCATTTAGGGGGCACAGCCCCCCCCCCCGTGCCCTTTGCAGCTACGTGGCTGCAATAAACTGGATCAAATCGAAGCCTACTCGACTTGATTTAGCTTGCTTTAACGCACTAAAATTTTGCATAAGTATGAAAGTTATGCAGTTTTGACATTTAGCTAATGGAAATTTAAAGAGATGCTTATAACAACCATTTTCCATTCTTCCTATCATCAAATTTTACTTAAATTTGTTTTTACTCGTTAAGATTGGAGACATGTATGACATTGTATTCCAAATATAGTTGTTGATATCGTTGAAATGGTTATACAGGCATTTTGTATTGAATCACCTGCATCTTATTGTAAACAGATTAGTGCAAACTGGTAGATAATTATAGATTGATATCTGTTGCAGAAGCTGTTGACAATGTATTAATAATGAAAATGTAAACTAGTCTTTGCTGGCGGAAAATCCTCACCTTGGAGGCACAATGATTTTTTTATTTTCGGCACAAAGTGCTATTTATGCACATCGTTTCAAGGCTGTAGTTATTTTCAGTGGCTAATTTTGTTTATCCCTTAAGGAATGAAGCTGATATTGGTGTCATCAAAATAATATATGAAATAGTATGAGATCCTATAACGCTAATATAACTAAGGCTAGAAAGTGTGCCTCTTGAGTCTAGCAATGCTATTCGGATAAGGGCGATATTTAAAGGAACTGACACAGTAAGGAAAAGAATCAGCAGAAGAAATACAGATTATGATTATGATTATTATTTACAAGTCATTAAAACATTTTTAAACTGCTTGCTGATCAAGAGTCAAGAAATTTAGCAAGCTCTTCTCTGGCTCCCTTTTAGAAATATTTACTACAAAGGACGTACGACACATAAACTCGACTTACTTATGCTCATTGGTTGCTGGTATATAACAAAGCTAGACACGTATTCCAGTAATAAGGAAATAAACACGAAAGTACACCTTAAAAGTATGAAAAAAGAGAGTTAAGGAACTGGGAGATTAAAGGTCCCATGCCTTTGGAAAAAATGTTTTTCGACCTTAATGTCTTGGATGCCGATTGCAGCGCCCTCTTTTATTACTGATCTGGTGGTATTTTATATTGGGAGGTCTTGTACTAGGTCGGTTTTACAATTAAAATTGATTGGCAAAAATCCAGCGGGTATTCTAAACAGCATCAACAAGTATTTTCCGAGCACTGAACATTTGTATGATAATAGGTCGGCATCGCCTCAAGAAAGTTATCAAAGCCTTGCTTGTTTAGTTGCAAGGAACGCGCTTGCCGCGAGTCATAACGCGGCATTTCCGAATGCTACTGGTTTCACAAAGAAAGCACGCCGAAACAGGCAATTGCATGAGGTTTCAGACGTTATTTCATAGAAAACATGCCGCAGCTATGATACATGCCCTTATCGATATTGAACAACGCAGGGGAATTATTTGCAGTATTGAGATTTTTGCACAGAATTTTGTAAACAGTGGCTTGTTGTGGTCGCAAGTACGGTTGCCAATGCCTGCAAATCAGCAAACGCCATGTTGTGTACGTTTTGAAATGAAACCCAGGGACCAAATAGGCGTAGACATATTCCTAAGCAAACATTGCAGTTGGATGATATTCTTTGAAACTCTTAATTGTAAGAGGCAAAAGCAAAGAGTGGAGAGAAAGCGAGAGACTTAACCGTGTGCCGGGCAAGCGCCTGAGTGAAGGAGCGGGTCGTTGAAAGAATGTATCGCTTGTTCAACCACCATCTCTTTTACTGAGGCCCGGAAACCGAGGGTAATCCAGCAACCACATCTAGTAATAAAGACAAGAAATTTCTGATTTCTGCCCTTTAGAGTCACAAACAGTCAAAACCGATTTCTAGCTTGATTAGAAGCAATAGCATTGGTACCCTTGGTACCAGAGCAACGTATATTCAAAGACGCTCCTCCGCTTCTCTGCTTGGCATTCTGTTAACGCCCTCGAAATTCTGTGGCTCTGATACCCAGGGCATATTTGGGTATTTTCATAAGTAGAGACTTCCAAGAAAATTGTACTGCGAAAGCCCGATGATTATGAAAATTTGTATCAAGTTACGTCATAGGAAAATCCCCTTCTAGCAAGGGGCCTCTTTCATTGAAGATGCTGACACTAAAAACTTGAAGCAATAAAATCACAGATTTTCTAAATATGACATCGCCTAAGAAAAAGTCTTAATTTAAGGGAAAATACCTGAACCTTTGCGGGTAAATTATCCTTTAAAAAGATATTTACTTTTCTTGACTTTAGAACAAAGAAGTTTAAAGATCTTTTGAATTAGAAAAGAGTATGTGTCTTAAAGCCAATTTATAAAGAACATTTTAAAAGTCTCTGTCCAAACAAGAAGCACCTGCTCCCAAAGAAGAGCAAGTCTCTTCAACTTGTAACCCTAATAAAAGTGTTAGAAAAACTCGCACTACATTTTGTTTACCTTAAAGTCTATAAAAACTCCAATATACTTTGGTGTGAAAATGACGCCATAAATGAGTTGCGTTTGAACGCACCCTTCTCGTATTTAACTCAAAAGGAATTTACGAAAATGCCCAATAGCTTTTGCCGTGAGAGGACGGCTTCGAAAAAGCTGTATGGGGGGAGAAATTTATGGAAAATGTGTTTTGTTCTTGTAATCTGCGTTTCTAACCACGTTTCAGAGGTGAATGCTACCACAACTTCACGATTATTGACGAAATTACAGGGAAATCATAAACGGGTATATATCTGCTTTAGAGTTGAGAGCGCCTCACAGATTGATCTTACTCTTTGTTTGAAAGAATATTCTTCGAATCGATAATACGAAGAAGTAAATAAGTACATTTGATCTTGGTATAAAGAAATTTTTCAAAAATGCTTCAACTTTGAAAATTCAACTTGAAAAATTTTGAAAGCAACAACAACAACAACTGCAAATTTAATATCAGTTGTTGCATTGCACAATTTAGTCATTCGTTACGCAAAATTTTTGATGCTCTGCGAACGGGATACTTCATTTCATTTATTTGTCGATAGATTGCTTCAAGTCGTGTCCATCTGCATATTTCTCGTTGCTATTCGCTATGCGAACTGTGTAACATGAATTATAGACCACCTCAAGTGATTCAAAACAGGTTGCTATTGCTCAAAACTCGATCAGCCTAATTTTTATGGCATTTAATTATAGCATGACTCAACAAATAATTTCATGATTTTCAAGCTAACAAAATAAATGGAAGCCAAATTGGGTAGTTCTCATATTATCTTATTTTTTGCAAACATTTCTGTTGGAAATTTTTCAATGAGCAAGCGATTTAAAATTGATAGTACAGATCGTCTCCAAATGTATGCGGTTTTCGGTGATTAAAATTATAACTTTAATAATCCTTATTATATTTAATTGTTTCCTATCCTTACACTTCAGATTAACAAATACCAGGTTTTTTCCCAGGCTTTTGCCTCTAGATTTTTACATTTTGGTCTGCCATGCATTTGACTGAGTTTTGAAAGATAAAAGATTTCGGAGGTATCGAAGGTTGATTCTGAATTCTCATTTTCCGAGTTTCATGGGATTCCCGAGTTAATTTTAGAATGTGGATCCGGGGCATCGTTCCAAGACGTTTAGAAAGCAAATTTCTTGTAATTCGTTTAACTTTAATAGAATCATGTGAATGAATTACGCAAGGTGATTCACCATTGCCAGGAGTTTAGTCCGAAACATGAATCGCCCCAAAACATTAGCTGACTCACGTGGGCAACCAGAACAATGCGGTTTTACTTATTCATTCAACTAGCCAATCAGCGATAATTTCCCGGGCGGGAGTTCAAAAAGCCGGCAAAAAACGCATAAAAGATGACTCAACGTCAGGGCTGTAACATAAAGGACTTCGCCTGAAGGAAGCATCAATCGAGGGTTTCGATCTGCCCTGAGAACTACATAAAGGTTTCGCCTTAGAATAATCTACACTTCATTGTTACAAATTGTCGAGCATTAAACAAGATGCCTTGTCACGAATCAAATTTTGTCGATCCTAGGACGACGTTGGAATCGAAGTTCAACGACATCAAAGTTTTAGGCAGTAGTTGTACTGGCTGTGTTTTGTCGGCAGTTGAGAAAAGTGGAAAACAACAGAGATACGCACTGAAAAGACTTTCCTTAAAACGAAGATCGCACTGTCGTGTCGCATTAAGGGAACTTAGGATTCTGAAACGACTTCGACATGAAAATGTTGTGAAAACCTCAAGTATAAGAGCACCGAACGGAAGCGATATTTCTGAACTCGACGCAGATACTTTTCAAAAGTTGGACTACGTGTATCTAGCGGAAGAGCTTATGGACACAGACATGTACAATATCCTCAATAAAGTTGGAAAAATCGAAGAAAAGATTGCGAAACTCTTTCTCTATCAGCTTCTCAGGGCCGTGAAATACATCCATTCGGCCAATGTAATTCACAGAGACATCAAACCCGGCAATCTGTTCGTTAACGCCAATGATTTGAGCATGAAGGTGGGTGACTTCGGCCTAGCCAGGATAGTTGACCCAAAGTTTGATCATGCTGGACAGTTAACTGAACTTGTTGCTACAAGATATTACAGATCTCCAGAAGTGATTTTGGCTCCGGGGAACTACGATGCTGCTATTGATATCTGGAGCACTGGATGTGTATTTGCCGAAATGTGCACAGGGAGCGTCTTATTTCCTGGGGAAAACGACTTACAACAAATCGATTGTATTCAGTCTTGGTTCAACAGAGGCAAATTTCTCACCCATAAACTTTCAGGAATCAGTCAAGCTGGTAAGTTTAATAATTTAAATCGAATCTTCCCTTCTTTAAAAAAATTTCCCACCCATGTAGGTCTTATTGTTTGTGATAGTCCAAAGGGCGTATTTGCGCGTTCTTTCAACCGGTCCACCTGCCCGCATTAAACAGATTTTAGCAATCGAACTCAAAGATTTATTACACGCATCCGCCTGAAATTATACAAAAAAATGTTCATTATTTTGGTTATTTCTTCAACGGTCCCTTATTCTATGTTTTTGGCAGTCTAAAGTGCGTTTCCCTTGACCCTGACTCAGCGTCGATAGTTGAATGCAAAGAATCCAAGGTGATTCCCCCACAATAAAAAAGTATTGTATTGCATAAGCTGCATCTGCGTTCGGTTGACACGTCGTAATCTGTATCCTAGAGACCAACTATCTTTGTAACAAAGCAACATGATTTTATTTTACTTTCATTACCCTAGCAGTTCTACTCAAAAATTTGAAATTCTTGATAGTTTCTTCCTTTTCAAAATCTAGCTAGTGACGTAGCTGATCCGTTTCTTTGACGCTCGAGAACCCTCGCATGACGCCACGACTTGTTTTCCTTTCCTATGTGTTGCCAACAGGAAATAATACCCACCTTTCAATGAACACGATTACTATTCATCCTTAATAAAGATTTTTCTTAAATTCCAAGGTTTTAACGAGTATTTGACTAATATAATTTTTCCGCACAATATTTTTTCCTGTTTTTAAATATTTTTTTATATATATATCCCAGATAATTTATTTATGTTTTTTTCATATAGGCCTTGACATACTTCAGAAAATGTTGCGGCTAGATCCGTCAAAAAGACAAACTGCGTCACAACTGTTAGAGGATCCCTACTTTGGTGACATCAGCGATATAATTGATGAACCAGCGTGTCCACAACCTGATGTTTTCCGGATCGAACACGAAGTTGATGATTTGCCGGTCCAGACTCTCAAAAGCATGCTCCTGACCGAATGTTGCCCCGACAAGTTCAGCACCCAGGCCATGAACAAAGAACTGTTCAATGGATTTGATGAGGACTTTCAATTTGACGATGAGAGCACAAAAGTGGCTCCTGAAAGAAATGACTCTTACTCATTTTCTTCAACTGACAACTCGTGTCCATCTCTTCTTAACATCCTCAGTTCTAGTTTCGTGGACGAACCCTACCGTGATCCGGCCTGTTCAGAAGCAAGGTCACTAGAAGACAGCTTCAGGTGCGATTCGCTCCAGTCAGAATGCACGACATCAGGGCACTGTAGTCCTAATTTCCCCAAAGTCACATCCTTTCTTGATACTGGAAGAAATGTTGTTTCGCCGGTTGCAGATTCACGGAGGCCGGTCGAATCGAGACTCCCTGGCAGGAACTTTCAGGCGATACCGCGGAGTTTTTTATGCTCCACAGAACTTGAAAACCAATTGATAAACATTATCAAAGAACAAACTGCTGTTTCATCGCATAGAAACTGCAGAATGTCGCAATTTACAGGCTCAGAATGTCTGAAAACCGATAAACTGAACAGGAACTTCAACCATTGGGATGCTATCCGCATTTGGATCTAGTGCTTTAAAGACTATTTAAATTAGGCAAATTTTTAGAATCTTCATTGGAAGTTTTGCATTGCGTCATTATTTTCAAAGTATAACTTAGAGTGTTACTTAAGGTAATGTACTGTGTTTAGGAACTACATTTAAGCTTGCGCCGCATGGTAAATTAAAATGCTAAAGTGAAACTGATTGTTTTCTTATTCCTTTTGTATTTATTTATTATCAAAATTGATATTGTGGATATTAGATATTATTATATACAAAGTTTTCTTGGCTTAGAGATTTTCAAACGTTGTTTTCATAAAGGAATATTGTATGATCATTAATGCTAAATTATTGTTGCTGTTACTATAATCATTGTTATTATTATCTTTGTTAATAACATTGTTATTATACCATATTAGTTAATGTAAATATTACTCATATACAAATTTTACCCCAGTAAAGTTTTGGAGTTTTGTATTATTTGCGAAGATATTGTAAAGATCCTTAGTTGTCACCATGTGGTTCAAGGTCATTAATTTAATATTGCTTATGTCTTTCATGTGATTTCAAATAGCAACAAAGCATTTCTTAACCTCCCCAGGTAAAGATCTTTCATTTCATGTTAACAGAAGCAAATTAATTTTGCCATTGTCTGCCTAGAAACCCTTCTATTCATAGGAAATGCTTTGTTGTTGCTTTAGACACCTATCCTAGATTCACTCAGGGTAGCAGCCTGACTGAAGAATCAGTTAATGATTTTTGTTAATAATATGGAGAATTTATCGTGTTTGCAGATGTTTTGAGAAATTTGTTGCATTTTTTGTGTATACTGCCAAAGAAATATATTTTCAAAGCCTCGTCAAGCTTTGGTATTGCCATTGGCTGGAGCTTGATGAACACATGTTGGTAGCAAAATACCTCTGTGGTATTCGAATGCTTCACACGAGTTTCTCAACTATATCGATTCGAAAGTTAAAGCTCACCTAATGGGGGACCAGAGCCCTGGGGTAAATGAAAACCTAGACCACTGAATCCTAATCTCTACCAAGACGCTTTGGCGTAACTGAATACGAGACTGCAATGGAATTTTGCCAATCATTGCTAGGCCATTTCCTAGGCGTCTTCCTGACAAGGCTGGGTAAACATGAAAATGCTTTGAAGTGGATAAGCATGGATGTGAATGGAAAGAGGATTGAGTGAAGTTTGCGTGAGGGCTTAATGTCACGAGTGAATTAGGCCAGACCTGCATTGTACACTGTTGTTATTGTATTAGTTATGGTCACACAAGATCGCGTGAGGGAAGCATCTGTTTCACACTTTGACCCGCAATATTTCTTTTCAGTTGCATAACAGCGTTGTCATGTGAGACGTTGCAAAGTTTTTCATGTTATTTCTTGTAACCCCTTTCTCTCGAACTAACCTTTTAGATAAGGTACCCAGACCAAATGTTGCCAAATAGTCTCAATACTATTTATATTCTTTACAGTCAAGTTTTTGCATGGTTTTAGGGCCTTCGCTAGCTATTATGCTCAATAGGGGTGCTCAGGTCCCCTTTTCTGATAAGGCCATGCTTCCCCATAGCGACAGCCCTGTGTGGTTTGGATGAAATGTATTATCTAAACTACGGATTCAATAAAATTTTTAACAAGTTTTGCTTTGCGTTTTCCTACAGCTGTGGTCCGATCAAACTGATTAAAATTCTAAAAAACATTTCAAAAGACAACGCATTTCTTCCTAAACAATGCCTTGGGTTACAACATCACTGCTGAAAGCTAAACTAATCAGCAAGTACATTGCAAACTAGGCTTTCAGTACTCGGTACTCCACTATTCCATTTTCAGAATAGCAAAATCCATTGTAAGCCTCAATACATTGTCCTTCGAATTCGAGTCCTTTTTGCCTTAACCCAGGGGCTATTTACCCATAGAAAACCAGATCTTGAATTTGAGCCAACATTTCATTACACAATTTCCCTTTTGGCAAATTACATATCACACAATCGAGAACATGGGATGTTTTCTCTTATCCTTTCCAACTTCTATAACTCATGACTCATCAACATCAATATTTTTCGATTGTATTTTTTTACATCGAAACTCATGATTATACTTGAACTGACAATGATTGTTACATTAATACTCAGATTGACGTCAAAACATGGTCTCGGAAATGAGCCAATGATGACAATAATCATCCACATTTCATACACCATGCTTCATTCATACTTCTGTCTTTATCTGCAATCTTTCCTCGAATAACTTTCAAATAACTTTGCAATCATAGTTTTCAAATACTTAAACCTTTATTTGCAACCATTGCGTCGGTATTTTGGGTATCCAATTCAAGCATGTATGAAATAGTTGGCATTTATCCTATTATTTCTAAAAGAAATGTAAACTTTTGAACCTTGAAACCACAAAAATCTGGAGTTCTTACAAAAATGATAAACTGCGATGGAAATATTCAGAAAGTCTGAGCCAGCACTATTTTAGGGAAAATTAACTTACTGTTGATACTCAAAAAGTAAATAAGAACTTTGTACCGTTCTTAGCACAACGCAGATTTCGATAACTAAGACCAGAAGGGACCCTCAAATTAAATTTAGATAAATGTTTTCAAGATCTTGTTTAAAGCATCTTCAACATAAGCTTCTATAACTTAGCTCGCCTTTATTGATGAAAGAAAATTCTCATTTTTACCTCTTACTATTGTGTTTAACATGCATCAACAGCGTTGGATGGGACTTTCTTGCAGTCCGTATGTAGGGGCCCCTCCCAGTTTTTACCATTAGCCCCCTTTTTTTCCATAGCCCCCAAAACTTACATAATACTTCAAGCAAGTCGAATTTGAACCCTGAGGTGTTTTCAGACCGGAAGTATGTTACATAAAATTACTGCTTTCGTCCCCTTCCCCCTAGAATAATGTTGGTAGTTTAGAGAAATATCATAACAGAAACTTAGAAGAAGGTACTTCCAAATCTCTTAACCCGCTTGATAGTAAACCAACATTGTTCCATGGGGAAGAGGGGGATGGCTGGATTTGACCTCACAAGCTGACGTCAGTATACTAAGACTTTTGGCAGTCATTTCTAGGAATTATGAAACTTCCCTGATAAATCCCCATCTTTTGTTCCAAAAGTGGTCATGCCTTTGCACTTTGCTCTCTGTTGCTTCAAATCAGGTGAAAAGGTGCAAAGCTCAGATCATAGATAACACGTGATATCTCACGTGCTTCAGCCAGTAAAGAAGTACAGGAGCCCACTAGGCTGTGTTCCAGACTCCTAACATGAAAGTAGGGTTTACTTTCTCTATTTCTACTTTCAGGTTAGGGGTCTGGAGCACAGGTTATAGAATTTGGAAAAATGAGCCTGAAGATGCACGACATGACACTAAGTTTGGAAAATCCGTTAAATATTTGGTTCCAGCCAAAATAAAAGCAATCCTCAAATTTAAAGTCTTTCATTTTTTATAAATCAACCAATTATATTCTACATACCAAGCTGATTTTCCATTTCAAGAGATATTTCATGGTGGTCTTTGGGTTTATGTGGAAAAACAGTCAAAATTCTAAAAGTTGATGCTTGGAGACATCGCACTCAAGAACTCTATTTGTGGAGCAGATATATGCCTGGAGTAGACCTTCTTAACATAAAGGTAATGGGCAAAGGCAATGGTATAACTTAGTCATTCTGTTGAGGTTCCTGCATAGGCCATCGAACTTTTCTAATTCCGCACCACACATGAGATTTTTGCCAAGTGGTAAGACGGCCCATTTCCTGGAAATCTGAAAATCCTGCCGAAGATACGAGTATACGAACAGGGATAACATGTTAAGGCCAGTATGAGATGGAAGTAGGAACTTCTAATCTTTAAATCCCATCTTTTAAAGGAAATTGAACTTTTCCATTGGCTTATACAATGATCTGCTGATAAGGCTGTACTGTGTTGACACAGCATTCTAAGGTTCGGAAGTGACTCAACACTAGTCTCTTCTTGGAGCTGTCGGAAGCATGAGAATTCCCAGCTTAGTGATAGCAAATCCCTAGAAGCCCCCTTGGCTATTGAAAAAAACAGAAAAGCCCTCTGAACAGCGGTGTAAGGTTAAAAGTTGCTGATTTGAGGGGCCTTGGAGCAAGGACACGCCATTTACTATGTTATGTTTTTAATTTTTTGCAAATATTCTAGAAAACTGCAACTTAGGATAGAATTTCAGAATGAATTGGAGAAAAGTGAGGGGCATGTCCCACTGAATCCCCCATACGTGGCCATGCCACTGCTTCTCGTTGCAACTGATCTACAGCAAGCACTCGCGTAGCCTGTGCTCCAGACCCCCAAGGGGCTTCCGAAGACGGGAGGCAAGGGCATTTTTTTGTTAAACAATAGAGCTTTCTGCAAAGTATTTGTTGTGGCTCTATAAATTGCTCTCGCCCCGCTCTAACTTCCAACTTGTGTCGGAGCCTCTGACAGAGGTGAATTTCTAACAGTGCCGTTTGTAATAGCTCCGTTCCTTGCCTTTTTCACTAATAGGTTTGTACAAGACCAAAAAGGAAAAACCTCTTTTTGACAGGTAGCCAATCTTTTAGTTCTTCGTGTAATTAATACTTCATTGCTTCCGTCCCTTTTCTATCTTTGCATTCCAAGGGGTCGTTTGCACAATAACAATTTACAGGTGTTCTGACCGAAGTTTGAAACTGAAGGGTGGGGTCCAAATAATAGCTTCTCAAAAAATATTTTGCAGTCAAAAGATTTATAAAAATTGAGAGCATGCCTCTGGTTCCTTGTCCTAGGAAGCAATCATTTAACTTGGGAATCGATGGCAAATGCAGCATCTAATGCAGCTTAAAGATATGCGGCCAACATCAAATTTCTAATTAAAAGAGATATAATTGCCAAACTACATTATAGTTGTCTTAGAATGAATAGACGCGCACATGCTTGAAAAATTCATGAATTGAATACCTTCAAATTTATATTTAGCACAAGTGGGAGGATTTAGAAAGAGGCAAGAATCTGCGTGTGATTTTTTTCTTTTACCGCAAAAGTGACTTATTCATCTTTCTCTGAATGGCACAATAGACGCGTGATCGAAATTTTCCCACAAACTTATCAATGAATTTTAAATTTATAATGAGCAGGTAAACTAGAAACGAGCTTCGGGGGATTCCTCAACGTTTGTTGTTATATGACAACAAACCCAAGCAGAGGCAGGATGGCATGGCAACCATGTAAAATGGTCATCTTGGAAACTAACGAGGTCAAATACCACGCGCATTATGGCCATTTTCAGTCATAAAACTGAGCTTTAAAAGAAAAATTGGTTTAAGTGCCATGCTTTCGTTGTCAGGCTTACCTAAGGGATTAATTTTTTGATATTATTATTGCAAAATTCAAGACAGGGCAGTTTTCAAGGATTACTCATTCAATCATGTATAACTTGCAGAAAGCCTTTGACAAAATGCTTAGATTCGTGGAAATTTGTATTTTTAGAAAAGGTCTTTGTATGCCAGGAAGGCAGTCAATTCTTCAAATTCTAACCTGTTCGTTCTTCAAACCCTAGATTCAAACTAAAGTCGGGTGTGTCAGACTAATTAATTACTTCATAAGGGTAATTACAGCTCAGTTACCTGAAAGTATTTTTTGTGCAAATGAGCTGGTTTCAGGAAAGCTAATTTAGAAATGAGGATGGAAACGCCTTCAAAAACATCAATGAGTAACTAAAGGCTTAGATTATTTGCAAGCCTTTTAGATGTTAATTTCACACCTGAAGTGACAAAACAAAGCTTTTAACCAGCACCTCATCACGATTTC